CTCGGGTTACAGTCTCCTAGGAGACGGCTCATGAGACATCTGAGCTCATCGCCCCGCACGGGCCACAAAGCCTCGGACTGGCGGCGTCAATCACCGCCGCATGACATGCGCGACCCCTTGGGCACCCGCGCTTACGAGAGTCCGAGGCTTTCGGGCCTTCATGCGACCGCACTCGACGCGACACAGTGAACTAAATGCAACTAACAAAATTAAGAAGAAAATAGCACGTTCTATATACAAGCAAAAGCGTATACAACAAAAACCCTAATAAAAGGGTATATGGTACGAGCATTCGTTATTGAGGTGTTGCTTGAGAGAGAAACAAAAAACAATGACAAATCACTTCTAAATCGTGAGTGCACTGAAGAATACGAGTTTGATTTAAATGTATGCACTTATAAGATTGAAACCACTATGGTCAAAAGCAAAAAGAATGCATTAAGAGTTCAGTTTCGAGGAAAACATATACAATTAAAAATACCAAAGTTACATATATGGGTTGAGGAAATATTTTATATTACTTTCACATTACTTGCATTGAATTATTATCAGCACAAAATTCAACAGCATCCATTAAATAAGTATTAGCGATGTTCGATTGGCCAACGAATCATTCTTCTGAACCGGATCCTTTGAATATACGATTCAATTCGCTGCTTATTCGTACATTGCTTGGCTGCGAGCGTGAGGCGGGTGACATGTTGGAATCATAAGCACAAAAACATGTCAAAATAACACTTAAAAATAGTTCAATAAAAGTAAACAAAAAAGTCAGAAATACAAAGCTTCTGGGAGGGCGACTCAAACGAAGCGGGATATGAAACGAATCGATTCGCAAAAAGTGAATCATTACGTTAAATATCACTTTATCGAGACACGGCTAAACAGCAGAACAAACACTTTCTTTCGATTTTGATACTATTAACTGTGCTTACAAACAGAGTCCAAACATAAAACGTCCAGGGATGTAGCCGGGAACACCCTTTCTTCCGATCGGGCGCTTTTGTGGATCTGAACACAAAGAAGAGTCCGACAGAAGCGGAGACAAACCCGCACTCAAACGCCCAGTTCACATGAAACAATGCAAGCGAATCCTGCTGTTCGTTTCCCGTGCATATAACCGATTCAAAGCCAACTGTTTAACTTTAACCGTTTGATGCAACACCAGACTGAATATAATCGGTTGTCCCGGTAGAAAACAGTCCAAATGAGATATTAATGATACAATGTTTTAGAATCGCACGTATAATTGCTACTCTCTGCATCGCCAGTCAGAAACATGCAGAAACCACTTTCACTCGAGTCGTTGTATCTCTTTTCAACAGAAACAATAATCCAACACGGTACAAAAAGAGCAGAAAGAGAAAATCCTCTTTCCGTGATAAACTCACAGTTCTCGGCCGAGTGAACTCTCTCCTGCTGCTGTCGAGCTCCGGGTCAGTGGCTGTTCTCTGGCCTAAGGCTCGACTTCGCGTCCGTGTTTTTTTTTTTTTCTCTCACAAAAACTCACATATTTCCGTCTCCATTCAAACCTGAGCTGAAACACGCCCCGAATGAGCGCCCGACTCCAGCCGAGAGCGGCGAGCAGAGCCGAGCCTACACTGGACCTCCCCCAGCCCCGCCCCCCAGGAGCTCATGCTGGAACAGGACTCACACACACACACACACACACACAAATATCACGTTGTATAAATATGACTTTATGTTTGGAACATATTTGTTATTGTTAGTATTTATTTGAAATTATTTGGAATATTTTATAATTATTAGCCTATTTGAAATTGGAATTAGCTACCTCATTCTTGCAAACTAGGCCCTAAACTTTTATTACAGACTCACCGGTCCAAAAAACAAACAAACAAACAAGACAGTACACACAATACAATATATATATATACAACTTCAGAGGAGACAATACCAATGCTTCCATAACTTGGACTTACCGTGTAGCGCTAAACTTGATATTGGTCAAAGCCACAATTATAATTGTCTGAGTTATGCAGCCGACATATAAATTTGTACATAACTTTTCTCAATGTGGCTTGCAGAGTATTAACACCAAACATCTCACTGGCACTACACCAGCGCGGTCTTCTCAGAAGAATTCTCAGTGCATCATTATAAGCTACCTGAAGTTTATACAAGCTATAGCTTTGCAATATTAAATTAAAATTAATAAAAAAGAAATAAAACATATGTTCCAAAAAATTAGATGTTTTTTTTAACTGCAGAAATCATCTATTTTATTTATTTATTTTTTTGAACATATGCTTTATTATTTTTTTAAACTGCAAGAATTACAATTTTTTGACAAAGGTGTAATTTATTTGTATTATTATTATTATTATTTGAAACTGCAGTATTGACCTAAGTTTTGGAACAAATTTATTTTATTAATTTATTTATTTATTTATTTTTTGAAACTGCAGTTTTGACTGTTTGGAACATAATTAATAGTAGTATTATTCATATATATTTAAACTGTAGGTTGACCTAATTTCTGGAACATATTTTGTATTATATATTACATTAATATATTACTATTATTATTAATATACTAAAACTGTAGGAATTACCTAATTTTGGAACATATATATATATGAAGAGTTCAGATGCAAAAGCCTCTAAATGCCATTTGAAATTTTCTTCTTTAATGATGATTTTTATCAAACTTGTATATTTAAGTTCAGTGATTTCACTTAAATGGCAATGATAATTACCTATTAATTGTTATTTAAGTGAAATTACTGAACTTAAATATACAAGTTTGATAAAAATCATCATTAAAGAAGAAAATTTCAAATGGCATTTAGAGGCTTTTGCATCTGAACTCTTCATATATATATATATATAAATTATTATTTAAAACTGCAGGAATTATCTAATTTTCGGAAGATATCTTTTTATATGACTAGGAATGATTTTAGTGATTTATTTTTTTATTGTCAACTGCAGGAAGGACCTAAATTTTTATGATTTTTTTTATTCAATTTTTAGGTGTTCAGGCACGAAGTGCTGAAAACCTATTGTATTTGCTAGAAAGAAAAAAAAAATCCCCTAAAACGCATCGTGCAGCCCAAACCGTAAGGGCTGGAGCTGTGAAACTTTGTCAGATGGTAGGGCCTCGAATTGTGGAGAACCTATCAGAGTATGACCCCGATTGGCCCATAGGTGGCGCTACAGCAACCAAAAGTACTAAATTGCTCATAACTCCTAGACCGTTTGACTTCAATGTTTTTACACCACTGTAATCCCTGGCTCAAGACGGACAAGATGTATATCTCGGATTTCCATTTGGAGCAAAAAAAATTACTTATATAATAAAGACAATACTCAACTATAATTCATAGTATAACTTTATCAATTCAATCTTTTAACATTTACAACCACATTTAGTAAAAAATGACTATTATCCTGAAGTTGAAAATGAGTGTGTGAACTAAACTGTAGTAAATCATATTTTAACATGGTAAATTATGATAAATCATATTGGAACATGGTTAATTATGTAATATCAAGCTGAAATGTAGTATATCATGATAAATCATGCCTGCTACATACAACTTAATGTCTTTTGATGCTTTTGTGCTTAAATGCCTTAAAGACCTGAACACCGATAAATGCTGCTTGCAGCTTTAATTTTTAATTATTTTCATATTTTGATGCATGGCAATGTGTGTAGATGTATGGATTTGCATATCCATTTTAGATTATGCTGTGTCAGTTTTAGCATTTGTTTTTTAAGTTTTTCTGCTTATTTCTTTTTATGTGTTCTTTTTATGTTCTGAGTTTGTATTATGTGTTGCCTCATTTATGCCATTTTAATACATTTTGGAAGGTTAAATACAGTTACAGACATTTGTTTTGTAAGGCAGTGGTTCACAACCTTTTTTGATCTGAGACCCCCCTTTTCCCAAGAAAATACCCCCCCCCCCTTTCATATTTAATGATATTATCGCTCTTGTAAGCTTGCAGCAAGGATGCCAAAATATGTTGTCATATTTTGGGTAAACAAACAAACGGTAAGTTTACTATAACCTGATGTTTATGCACAAATAATAGCCTATAATATTAAAAATGCAATGACAAAAATATCAGGTCCTTTGTTATTTAAAAACGTAAGCCTATATATTGGCCTATATATATGCTATCTCTTAATGACAGTTGTCTGGGGCCTCAATACTTGCAAGTTATTTGTGAGGCTTTATTTTTTACGCTTTTGGCGCTTTAGCGAGCGATAATAAACTTGCGTTTATTTACAGATCTTTCGGAAGAACATTGCAGCCGGAACTACTTCTCCCTGTGTACGTCTATGATGAGTCACGCAGGTAGGCTACTGGGCTACTCCGCAGCGGCAGCAATCCGAACCAGTGTAAAATAGTCCCAATGTAAACACGTATTATAGATGTAGTGGTTCAGGATAAGACAAAAACACGGATTGAAAAATGGATTCATGATGAACTCGCTCATTATATACATTTTGGAACAGAAACAAGTAAAGGACTTTTGTTTAATGCTCATTGCTCGAAACATCTCAAACTATGACGCGACCCCCCACGGAGCTCGCTGAGGCCCCCTTGTGGGCTGTTGGGAACTGATGCTGTGAGGGGTAAGTTGTGCCAGCTTCTCAGCAAAATGAGATTCTTAAAAGTAAAACTCTAAGACGGAAAACAAACCATTATTTTGCACAACATTGTAATTAATACACTGTATGTGTGTGCGTGCATATGTTTTATCAATGAAATGCCAAACATTGTCCATCTAATAGTGAATGAGTAAAATATTGAACGCATCAATTCTGACGCTTCAACATGTTTTCAAAGGTCTTATCCAATTCTTATTGCAGCTTATCCTTCATTATCAGGTTATTACATACAGTTATTATTATTGGATATAGTTATTATATAATTGGTCAGTTTCAGGAAAGTGAGAGGTAAATCAGTTCTGACAGGTTTTAAAAACAGAAACGTCTTTCTGAAAAAAAAAAAACACAGCAAATATTGTTTTTAAACATTTTTAATTTCACAAAACAAATGAGTTTTTTTAAACATGAGTTTTCATTTTCCTTCTGTGCATCTAACAATCTCGCCGTTTTTAAAAAGAGGGAGAGAAAATAATTTACACATCTTTTGTTTGTCATATCTACAAAAATAAAATTAAAAGAAATGACCAGAGCTTTACAGAAAATGAACATATAAAACAGGCCGTGAACTATATTACATGAGTGATGAAAATAAAAACACAAAGCTCTACGTACAGTAGTTCGCACGAGCGCGCGCTTCTTCCCAGTGCAACGAACCGCTGACGAGCATGAATGACGAGTGAAGCGATGGAGGAATGAGGCGGGAAACAAAAGAAGAAAAGACGAGAAAACTCACGGGTAAAAGTGTTAAAGCTAACGAGAGGAACACGTCTACATTTCTCCACCTGAGTTAACAGCAGTTATCCACACAAGCAGCGTCTCTGATACACAAAACCATTCGAATAAGAAAATAAAGGAAAACATAACAGGAGGTGAGGTAACAATCCTCCTTCGGCGGGTTAGGCGGACGAGTTTAACGCCCAGAAAAGTTGTTTTCATTTATTAGAGTTGCCGATCCCTTCATAGTGTGTTTTCAAGCAGCCGTTGAGCAAGTGACGAACAAACGCTCACAGTAATACAAGTGTGTCAGGTCACATGACATGTCAGAATTCATAAACACGCCCCCTTTTCCCCCCTGCGCGATTTAAAGAGGAATCCAGTTAATAGTGCATAGAAACTGAACAAACATTTGTTGGATATTTTATTTCTTCCATTAAAATAAAATAAAACAAAATAAAACCTTCAGCTTTTGTCGATTTCCTTCCTTCGTGTAGTGTTTTACGTAATCAAACACAAGCTACGATATTAGCGATATGTATCCGTGAGACATCCTTATTCCCAGTGCAAAAGATCCTGAATCGGCGGCTCAGGGTGACGATGAAAACGAGATGTGACGCAGGTAAAGTGCTGGGGTTTCCTTCAAAGGACAGAGTCATGTCTTCAGCCGCGCGACATCACTTCCTGTTCGTCACGCATCACTTACGTTCTCCCATCAACCAATCGCATTTCATTTTCCCTCTCTCGAATGGTCACTTTCCTTTCTCCGTCATTTCTCTCTCTCCGCGGGCCGAAGGGTCGTCCGTCCCGTCTCTCAAGTCACGAGTTGACACACACAACACATAATTCAACCTGGATGGTGCTTCCAGGCGCAAGGCATGCTGGGAAGGGGCTACATCATAGTGTGTTTGCGTGAGTCTGTGCGTGCGAGATGAAAGTCCAGTGTGAACCGTCAGAAGCCAGTGGACTGGATTTTCGGCGGAGCCGATTCTGTCGAGACGCCCTCTTTACCTGAGAGAGCGAACACACGGGAAATCATTGGGTGATTTGGATTTAGCGCTAGACTCCGTTATCGAGTGTGTCCTCACCGTCTCCGGCTCCCCGGTCCAGCGAAGGCGCCCGGGCCACGGCGGGACACCGGCACACGACGGCATCGGATGATTGTACCGCCGGGCACGGCTGGCGTAACGTCTTCAGCAGTGTGTGGTGATCCGCCTCAATGTCCTACAGCAGACACACACACAGACCATCAGGCTAATACACCCGCCTCAGACACACACACATAAATAACCAATAAATGTGTAAAAAAAAAAAATATATATATGAAGAGTTCAGATGCAAAAGCCTCTAAATGCCATATGAAATTTTCTTCTTTAATGATGATTTTTATCAAACTTGTATATTTAAGTTCAGTAATTTCACTTAAATAACAGTTAATAGGTAATTATCATTGCCATTTAAGTGAAATTACTGAACTTAAATATTACAAGCTTGATAAAAATCATCATTAAAGAAGAAAATTTCAAATGGCACTTAGAGGCTTTTGCATCTGAACTCTTCATATATATATATATTAGGGCTGTGCAAAAATTAATTGCGATTAATCGCATCCAAAATAAAAGTCTGTGTTTACATAATATATTTGTGTGTGCTGTGTATATATACGTATATATATATACACACACACACATGCATGTATATATTTAAGAAAATTTGTTATTCATATATAAAATATTTATATATAATATAGATTATGTATTTATTTATATACACAGTATTTACATACAAATAATTCTTAAATATATACATGCATGTATATGTATTTATATATACAAAACAAGTATACACCGCAAACACACATATAGTATGTAAACACAAACTTTTATTTTGGATGCGATTAATCGTAATTAATCTTTGCACAACCCTAATATATATATATATATATAAAAGTATTTATACAATATAATAGCTTTAGAAAATTTGTTAAAATATAATAATATAATTTGTATTAATTTATGTATATATATATATGTATATGTGTGTAAATATATATATATATATATATATATATATATATATATATATATATGTATATGTGTGTAAATATATATATATATATATATATATACACACACACATATATATATATATATATATATATATATATATATAATACTACAATTTGAATATACCCCCCAAAAAAACCTTTCAAAAACTCAAACATTTATTTTGGCATCAATAACTTTCTTTTTTTACATGAAATGAAAAGATTAAACAACTATAATGCATAAATATGTGTATTTGTCACGTATAAGCTTTTTACATTATAATTTCTAGTATTCATTTTTTATTAATTTTAATACAAAATTATTTTATTTTTTATTTATATATATATTTTTTTAAATGTGTGTGTGTGTGTGTTTTACCCTCAGATGCTGCAGTTTCCTCATCAGCTGCTCCATGGTGTTGAAGATCTGGTCCGAGTTCTTGATCACATGACGCTGTGTGCTGGTCTGTGATTGGCCGAGCCCTTGCCCCCGACTCAGAGGCTCAGTGAGCGATGGGTCAGCTGGAGCGAGGCAGGGCGTCTCGGGCTCCTCCTCCTCGATGATGAAGGGCGACGAGCACACACTGCGGTGTGTGAGCTCATCGGTGCTGCTCTCGTCGGCCGGAGCGCTGGACTGATCTTTGGGCATCACCAGGTAAAACATGTTCCCTGGGAACAGCGCAGTTACAGTCAACACCCAAACAAGCAGAGTTTAGAGGTCACATGGGTCACAGACAACCAGTTTGGGCCCTGATGCATTTAAAGGCACAGTAACCCTGACGTTCACTACCGTGAGTTTAAGAGAAGATTGAGTTCACTTCAATTTAAAGCTTTCAATCATACTGTAATGGTGAGAACAAAATATATTTAATTTCATATCATATTTATGTTGTGTCAAAATTAATTGGGAGATTAATTGTGAAATTATTACGATTTAAAATATATCAAAAACTTTAAATGTTAGGTGCGATTAATCACGATTAATTACCGAAAAATGTACGATTAATACGTTTGTTTATTTTTAATTAATTGACAGCACCTAAAAAGGAAAAAGAAATAATAAAAAGTAAAAAATGCTAAAAATAATAAAACTTATTTATATTTACTAAAACAAACTAAAATTAAAATTGAACGTACATCTGCAATAATATTACATTATACTAAAATAATAGAGTGACTATAATTAATATATTATAATAGTGAATGGCTAAAAAAATCATTTAATTTAAATTATTGCAATATAAAAAATATATTAAAAACATTAATTGTTAGGTGTGATTTATCACAGAAAAATG